CTCTCTCTCTCTCTCTCTCTCTCTCTCTCTCTCTCTCTCTCTCTCTCATTCATTTTGTTTGCAGTTAATTTGCCTCTTTATTGTCTGATCTCGTCAACACCATTGTCCTTATTTTATGACAGAATAACAACCCTGAATAAAACATCGGGATTTTTTTGGGACAATGTGAAGACATAAAGTAAAATCCATGACTCTGTTGTTTCTGCTCAGGGCAAACATACAAAATCAATTATGTGATGAATTTCAAATGTTACTCCAACTGTTACTCCAACACTTCACTGTTAGCAGTGAGTTGTTTGATAAATGTGTCACTCACACAGTTTGCTTTTCAAGTCATGCTTAATAAATACGGGCTCAGATCCAGTAAAGTTTGGGTTTATATACTCACAGTACTTGTCGTCCTGTTCTGTCCACTCTGGATGAAACTGCGCTGCTGAGTAGTGCTCCGCCTGCGGCTCCTTCTCGACGTCCTTCTCTATGAACAGCCTGCTCTCCTCAGGAAGCTCTTTGCTGGATGGACGCACAATTGTGACTTGTGGAGTGAAGCCCAGAGCAGCTTTCTCTGAATTCCAAGTTGACTTTTCTTCCTCATCCTCCTCATCTTCATCATCTGCCAGTGAGCCATCCCCTTTATTGTCCCTCCACCTCTCGCCCTCAGGCATGCTTTCCCTCCACTTGCTCTTTCTGTCGTTCTCTTCCTGGCTCTGCTCCTCTGACAGGTTCAGGCTTCCTCCATAGAGCTCCATGTCCCTCTCTTCAGCCTCAGAAACTCCTTTTTCTGACCAGACTCCATCGTCGTTATCCGTCTGAGGTCTCTTGTCTTTGTCTTCAGGCCATGGCAGAGTTTCTGGCTCCAGATGAGCAGAGGTGGTCATTTCCTCTTCATCCTCCTCTTTCGAGTCCTCTACTTTTTCTTCTTCTTCCTTGTTTGTAACTTCCCATCTTTTCTCTATGGTGTCACTGTCTTCTGGCTTTTTACTTCCTGCTATTTGAGGCTCTGCAGGTATAAGTGCCACGTCCTCAGTTAAATGTGTGACTAAACCACCTTGGCCAGACATTTTTTTATTCAATGTTCTCTCTTTTTAGTCAATACCTCGTGCGCTGTCAAAAGTCTGACTGTTAGCAAATCTTCTTTCAGCTGCTAAAAGTCATTTTTGTTAATTTCTCTGTATGGGGAAAAAAAAAAAGAGTAACAAACAAGTTTAACAACAATGTCTTGCTCCGCCTTTAGTTTCACACAAAGAAGAAAATCAAAGTTCACTGTTTTATCATGGGTGTGTTGCCCTATATGGCTTGTCCTGCCCCTGCACAGGCCGACACGGTGTAAACAGAATGTCTGTGCAGCTGTCAGTCTTGTTTGAGTGTATGTCAGAGGATCAGACTAATTCCACTTAAAAATTGCTATAAATACGCTACATTTCTTAACTTTATTTAAGTATTGATTAAATGGTGACGCCTCCCAAACACCAAAACAAGTATCACAAATAACAAATCCAGTGAGAGTGAATTAGTAAACGTTGTGGATATATCAGCTTATTTATTTGAAGAATATTGGCATCAGCAACTTATTTCACCACAGTTGCTAAAGTCAAAACCATATATTAAAGCAATTAACGGCGTCAACTAACGATTAGCTTCATTATCACCTAATCTGACGAGTACTTTGTCGATCACCCCTTAATCGTTTGGTCTATATGAAACTTCCAAATTCCTTGTTTTGTCCAGTTCAAAACCATATAAGCTTACCATGAACTGGCATGTGAAAACTTCTATTAAAACCATGGGACCAAAATCATATAGCTCTACTCCAAATACTTTTTGTTTGTGTATTCTAAGCCTCACCAATTGCTTATTTTGCCAAGAAACCTTAAGGATTTAATTTGCAACATGTCTTCCTGTAAATAGTTGTTGCTGAATATTTTACAGTAATCAAATTAATAAGAATAAATACTTCTTCACCTGAGCAAATCATTTTTAATTTTCAAAGATTTATACCTACACTAGTTTCCAGTTTCTTGCAAACAAATTTTGATCATGTGAAGTGTTAAAAGGAAATACAAATAGTTATAAAGTACATACAGTACTATACATGAGTATTGCACAAAACCAAGGCCTATTACATTTGGAAAAATTCCCAAGTGTGTCCAATCCAACTTTGTGATACCTAGATTATACAGATTATTCTAACTGGTCAATTATTAATCATTTCGGCCATAAAGTGAGTAACAAGCTGTATAAACATGGCTGCATTCCTGCTCTATGAAAACACATGAAACCGCTGGACTTTGCCTGACAGAAATACTACATAGGCTGCCACTGAAATACCCTTAAACTGATGTTGATGTGTTGTTGGTACTGCGAGATGAAGCTATAAAACATGGCTGGATTTGTGAAACACTCGTCTCTAAAGTGAGATTTTTGAGTTTCATGTCTAAAAGTCTTTTGCGTTTGGTTTCAGGGGAGATTACTTCGTGTCTAAAAATATGATCAAATTACCTACAGGAACTATCTGCTTTGTACGACACTTCCTTCTCAGCGTCTACTTTAAATATCTTACTTACGCCATTATTACTGCCACACAATAGGCTACTTTACAAACGCTGAAACTATTCGGGGAGAGCTGCTGCTAAGAATAGCTGTCAGCTTGTAACATAATATGTATTATAGTCTAAACAGGCTACTGTTGTAGATTTTCACTTCAAAACACATCTTTATTCACCATCTTCCAGAGTTAGTTCAGATTTACAAAGCTTCTTTCCCTCCTGTACGCACACTGAGTTGTAGTTTAGTTGATACGGTCTCGTGCAGGTCAGCGAGGAATTTGGTTTCTGGCGAAAGCCAAAACTTGTTTGGCAACTCTAGAAACGTCAACGTTATATTGACGACATTTTTCTAGTGATACTGAAACAGTTAAAAACATTGAACGTTAATGGTTGACGTATGCCTACCTGCTGTTTTCACTCCGGTCACATCACCGAAACCATCCGTAAGTTAGCTTTGTCCAAAAACAGCGAGGTCACTACCGTATAGTTGTTTCTCACCGTTGAAGGAAGAAAGTTACCTGTCAGGTGTACCCAGGTTCTAGCTCCACAGGGAGGAGGAAACAGCGAAGAGGTGTCACTCTGCTTCTATTTCCACTTGCTGAAAAATAAATGTCACAGCAAAGATTCGCCCGTTGTAGTCCATTCCTCCCAACCCAGAAAGACCCTTTAATGGAGGACAAGAGGAGTCATGTTAAAAAGAAAACAAATTTGTAATCTTGATTTAGTTTCACCCTCTCAAATCGACAGTTTGTGCTCTCAATGTGATAAATTGTGCTCTGAATGTCACTCATGTTCTCCAATTATAGTCATTCGTGCTTGCCATTGAAAGGTAGCCTTGCTCTCTAATAATTATATTCTCCAATTAGTAATTTGTGCTCTACATTTAATAATTCGAGCCCTGGAATATAATAGTTGAAGCCCTACTCTTGACTTTATAATTTGTACTCTCGATTTAACAGTTTATACTCATTTGTGCTCTGGACCTAATAGATTGTGATCTTTATTTAATAATTCTTGCTCTCAAATAAGCATATCTTGGGCTCCGTATCCCTTTTCTTGGTAGGGAGTTGTTGTTTTTTTGTCACTTATGAGCCTGAGTCAATACCTCAAAATCCATATATTTGTTTGTCTCAATAATTGACAGATATGTCAAGAATAAAGGCGTTAAATTGTTTTATGAGTAAGATAAATTAAATAGCATGAATCTATAGATCTTATCTAACTCAATAATTTTTTTTCCAGCAGAGTAAAAAGTCCCCAGTATCTATACGCCTACAGATACTTTTATTTTGTGTGTTGATCTTTATCTTGGTCCATTTAATAAACAAGCAGGAAACTTCATTCCATACGTTACACCCTCTGCAGTTGCGAGAGCATCCGAGTAAAATTCCTATGAAGTAAGACAACACACCTAAGTAGGCTTCTAGGCATATATACTGGTCTAAAATAATACATTAAATCAGCTAAATATCTAAATGAAACGCTCCTTTGTTTTGAGTTGGCCATTATAAGAAGTAATGGTAATGCTCCCTGTAAAATATTTGACAAAAAAGCAGGTTATCTACATGCACATTGACCTGTACAAGTTTTCTCGTTTGAATGACTCGTCTGTCAAAACATACAAAGCCTTTGCTTCAGCTCCACTCAGGTCCATAGTGCAGCAGTCAAGTCATCAAACAGGACTGGTGAGGGTATAGCAGCTGCTCTTATACACAATCACTATTATAATCAGATAGATATTTCCCCAAGTATGCATTTGGTTACGTTATGTCATGCAAGGCGTCTGGAGGTAAATGACAGAAAAGAAAGGAAATAAACATTAATATAGTAGTAGGTGGAAAATAAAACATCTAGATCAATATTTTTATTTTAAGAGCATAATATCACAAACTATTGACTTCTTGTTCAAAACAATTTTTAATTGAATAACTTGACACACCGAAGCTCCATTTGGCATTTAGAAACTTTAATGGTTTTACCCGACCCCACAGATGTTGATATACATTAATTAATAATGAAGTCATGTCACACGATTTTTAAACAAGGTGCCAAAAACAACAAGTGAATGAATGTTTGTGAAATCAATCCAATCACGTTAATTTAATCACATGAAGGTCAAAGTTTGAAAAGGAAAAAAAAAGAAAAGACTTCACAGCTACATGTTAACATTAAGAGAAAATAATGATGGCAACAGCTGAAACTACAAGAGTAAACTGTGCGAGGAGAGAAGGCATTTCTTAGAGAGGTGTCAGTCCTGTTGAGGAACGTGTGTTAAGGAAAAGTTGAGAGGCTGATCTGTGCAGGACAACTCATTGATCTGTGTAACTAACGGATTCAAAAAACTGAAATGGCATTGAGAAAATCACGACATCATGTGGACGTATTTTATCTTGCAGGCCCTCAAACTCTCCTCACAGATTCCCTTCATAAAGCGCAAGTTCTGGGTCTTTTGATCCAAAAGCAAGGAAACCTCATTCACATCCACATTTGAAAAAAACACAAACTACTCAACAGTACTTTGTGTGATTTAAGCGGCCTCTTAACAATTCCTCGTAAGCCATAAAACATCATGGCTTAAACTTGCAATACTGCCTTTTGTTGGCCACTTGGGGGCACAACATTGAAATAGCAGCACCTTTTTAAGCTGGCATAGCAAACTTCAAAACTAAAATTAGCCTATTTCCCTTCCAGCAGTACGCAGAATTATTATGATTCATTTGGAGTTGTGTTTGTGGCCAATAGTTTTTCCCGTACCGATGTGAGGACGTCGCATGTGTACAGACTGTAAAGCCCTCTGAGGCAAACTTGGAATTTTGGGCTATACAAAATAAATGTAATTGAATAGTCCAATATTTACTCATTTTTAGCTCAGTTTTTGGTCTCAACTAACTCCTGAGGGAAATATCCGGCTGTCTAGCTGCGTAATGCTCCACTACGTTCACCAACTAGTGGCTAACTGTGTCAGCCTGCTTCTTACAGTAGCTTTTGAGAAGTTTTTTGCTAAAAAGTGCTGATTCCCGTGGCCAAAAATGACGCCATGAGAGCAGCGAGAATGAACAAAAACAGTAAAGTTTGCGGATAGAGGGTTAAACAATCAGTTGACACTGGCTAAAAAGCTGTGTTAAGTCGAGGGGGAGCTGCAGATTCAGGTGATGATTCTCTGTACGTTCATTGCTACGAGTGACTCCTTCACATTGTATAATACAAATATCAACAAAAAAAAAAGTTTTAGTCCTGTGTCCTAAAATGATTCCAACTAAAAGTCAAAACAGAGTAGCAGAGCAGTATCATAATAGATGTGTGTTGGGAAATCAGTTGGCAACATTTTTTACATTTTCATAGAATATGATTGAACCCCATAACGCTCTGTATTCATATGCCAGTCTGTCCTGAAATATGGAAAGTAAACCCTAAGAACTCATTTCATTTTTTCAGAAAGAGCAATGAAAGAAATACAGAATGAGAGATTGTATCGAGTTACAACAGCTAGTGGAATGGAGGCTCGTCCGGATGTTATTTCACAAATTCAGCTCTCTATAGTTTCTATTTGTTTTGACTTTTCTCCCTTTAACAGCAACCGTTTTACAGTTACAACAAAACTGACAAACACTATATCTACAAGCTAAATGTAAACCAGAACAATCAGTGCCAGTTCCATAAAAGATTATTAGTAATACTAATATTCAGATGACAGTAATAAAGTAATTTGAAAAAAGCACAAGATGGACAAGTTAGTCAGAAAACAGGAGAGCTGCAGAATATTTATCCGACCTGACTGACAAAAGGTTAAAAACATGTTTTCATTGAAAAGATTGTATTTCTAAAACAGCAACTTTTTTGGTGAGACCGGGGTGGTTCATCAAGCCTGGTTACTAACGTCAAAGCCTGCATCCTGTTCGATGAGCGACTCTTCTGTATTGTCCGCAAGCTCGATGGGCGTCTCCGTGTTGTGCTCCACCTCCTCTTCTACCTCCTCTGCTTCATGTTCCACCCCAACAGAAGATGAATCACTCTCTGCTTTTGAATGCTTGGGGACTGCGCTTTCGAGCTTCGTTTCACTTCTGGCTTTATTTCTGTTGACTGAACCTTTAGGACGGCCCCTTTTCCGTGTTGGAACAGCATCATTTTTAGGAGCGTTTGGGGGACGGCCCCTTTTTCTCGGGGATACAACATTGGGCTCGCGTGGTGAGGATGAAGGTGCAGGCAAACTCTTGCGCAAGTGAGCGCCTTTCTTGGACTCTGACTTGCAAGGCCGACCGCGGCTTCTGCGAGGGGCCGGTTGAGAATCCTCTGGTGGATCAACACGAGGGTATTTCCTCGGCCTTCCCAGCGGCTTCCATACTTTGGGCTTTTTGAGCTCCTCGGGTGATGGCAGAGGGTACTTCCTTGGCCTTCCCCTTTTGGCTGGTTCTTTTCTTGGTCGACCACGCTTCCCCCGTGTGGGCAGGCTTCTCTTCGGCCGGCCCACCTTCCCGTGCACCTTATATGCGGGGGGTTTCTTGTTTAAAGAGCCTTTAGGGCGACCCCTTCCCCTCTTAGCTGGCTGGGAGACACCTGTGACCTTTCTTGGCCTTCCCCTCCCTCGACGAGGCTCCTCTTCTTCTTCCTCCTCCTCCTCCTC